CAAAGTACCTCGGGTGTAAGAATTGTGATCCGTAAATATTTGTTCTGTCGCACGCAGAATCTAGATTTGCCTAGTTTGAGAAGAAAAACTAGATTTCTTAAAACAGGGGTGCCCATAAGGTCGATCGCGATCGACCGGGCGATCGCGAAGGCTTTCAAAGTCGATCGCCGAGGAAAAATTTTTATGAAATGACACAGGTAATTTATTGTTAAAAAAAAGTATAAAGAATTATGAAGACTGTACCACAACATCTGACCCTACCCTTCGGTGCGGGGGCGCGCCGGCAGGGGAGTCGTTTGATGCGCGACGACGACAGCAACAGCAGGCAGTGAGCGAATAAGCGTCATTCAGTGCAGTCACGTACGTATCACCGCGAAAGTTAACAAGATAGCAGCTAAAAGGCGACAAAATCGTAAATTGAATATTATTTAAAAGGTAAATAGAAAAAACTATTAATTACATCATTATAATGAGTTATTTCATTACTATGTTTTATACATGATTTCTGCAACAAAATATTAATTGTTTGTGAAGAGATGCGATTATTGTCATATTTTTTTGAAATTTTTAGCGTTCCTGGATACTAGTGCTTTAGGAACAAGTCAAAAATTTTATGTATGTTTTTGCTGAAATCATGTATAAAACATAGTTATAATTATTAATTCATGCTATCAGGCTCTTAAGTTGCTACACGTGTGTTTTTTATTGTTTGTAGACGGAGAACCGTGAATCCCTGAAACAATGAGTGGGCCGAAGAAATCGAAAACGTATCACTTCAATCCTGAGTGGGAAGAAGAGTTTTTCTTCACTATGGTAAAAGAAAAATGTGTATGTTTGATATGCCGATTTGCCATCGCCACACCAAAACGAGGTAATTTGGAGAGACATTATAAAACCGTACATAAAAAACATGAAGATAGCTTTCCACGTCACAGTGATATACGAAAATCTAAATTGAAAGACATGAAGCGTTGTTTGGCAGGTGAACAAGCCATGTTTACAAAACCGTTGTAGAAGTCCAAAGCGGCTACTATTGCATCATACAAAATAAGCCACATTTTAGCTAAAAATGAGAAATCATTTGATGATGGAGTGATGATAAAAGAATGCTTTCTCGAAGCAGCTGTCTTTGTTCGTAAATTTCAAAAACAAAGCCGAAATAATTTCAACTATTAAAGATATTCAACTATCCCGGCAAACCGTGACTAGACGTGTGGAAACAATAAACAAGAACTTGGAAAGCCAAACTATAAATGACCTCAGAGACTGCTCTTACTTTTCACTCCAATTTGATGAATCCACAGACGCAACAGATGTGGCGCAAATGTGTATTTTCATACGAATGGTCTTTCCAGATATGACCGTTAAAGAAGACTTTCTAAAAGAATGTACTCGAGGAGTAGATATCTATGATTCATTTCTAAAGTACACACAAGAACCACAAATGCCGCTGTATAAACTTGTATGCATAACCACATATGGAGCTCCAGCCATGACAGGCAACCATAACGGATTCATCGCACTGTGTCGAGCTAATGAAGAATTTCCGATCTTTTTCGCTTTTCACTGTGTGATTCATCAACAAGCACTTTGTGGAAAAATATTAAACATGAAAGATGTCATGACGATAGCCTTCAAAGTAGCAAACTCCGTCCGAGCGAGAAGTTTGCAGCGGCGATTATTCAAAGCACAACTGGAAAGTAGCGGATTCGAGCACACCGACTTATGTCTTCACGCAGATGTAAGGTGGCTAAGTCGTGGAAGATTCCTTGCAAGATTACTGCCTGAAATAATAATATTTCTAGAAGCCAGAGGAGACGATGTTGAAATGCTGAAAAATGGAAAATGGTAGAGCGATTTGGCTTTCTTAGTCGACATTACAAAGCACCTCAACGATATAAACCTGGAGTTGCAAGGAAAAGACAAAAATATTGTGAACATGATGTCCTCCATAAATGCTTTCAAGCGTAAGTTTAAACAATTGAAGGAAGAAATTAAAAACAAAGACTGCAGGAACTTTCCAACCCTGCTATTGCAACAAAACTCTGAAAGTTTCGTGTCATATGAAAACGAAGTGACAAAAATTCTGAGCGAATTTGAAAGACGCTTTGAAGATATTAATAAAATGGAGAATATTTTATCATTTCAGTCTTTTACCCATTTACCTGCACAAATGTTCATGAAATCTCTTCTAGCTGTAGCCGCTATTTTAATATCGAATATACTGCTCTTGAGGATGAAATGTTGAAGCTCATTTCGGATATAAATTTAAAAGCTAGAGCCGGCAACAGTGATTCTTATTATTACTGGTCATCAATATCCGAAATAAAATATCCATTGATGAAACAAATTGCCTTACAAATAACTGCTTTCTTTGCATCAACATATCTGTGCGAGTCTGCATTTTCGCATATGAAAATAATAAAATCAAAATATCGCACACGTCTAACAAATGACCACCTGACAGCCTGTTTGCGTTTAGCATTAACAGAAAACATCCCTAATTATGAAAATTTCGCGGAGGACCACCAATGTCATGCTTCGACATCAGCGTTAAAATAATTTTTCTTTTTTATCACTTACTTATCAGTAATATTTTTTATTATTTTTGTAGTGTTGGATGATTAAAAATTTAATAAACATCACTAATGCAGTTTTACTTCTAATTCTTTTTTGATAACTATTTCTCCTTCACGATGAACCGACGATCTGCAGGATCGCGCGCCTTCGATGAATGCAAAAAACGCAGACCGTTCGTCGCGTAAATCATTGACGGAGGCCTTTATGTCTAGCAGTGGACGTTCAAAAGGCTGAAATGATGGTTTCATTATATTTTGGTTTTAGTTGGTGGGATGTATGGTTTAAATGTCGATCTCCTAGTCAAATATTTTTGCTAGGTCGATCTCCCCAAGAAAAAGTATGGGCACCCCTGTCTTAAAAGAACAACTTTTTCTCGTGCGAAGGATACACCGAAGACCAAATTGGATGTTTGAAACGCAGTTACGTACCCTTTAAGTCTCAAGTGAAAGGAAGATGGTTGAAAGCACATAAAAAGGAAGACGTATTTTACAAATACAATGATGCATGGCTAAACTGAACTTTTGAGATTCCCGTGGTTACACAAAAGTCGCTAAACGCAACAAAGGTGGACTTAAATGGAACACAATTTTTGGTTAAACATGTGTTCATTATGACAATGGTAGACAGTAAGGTATGTAATGCTGCCACTGGTACAAAATCCACAAGCCGATGTTACATATGTGGTGCAACATCTAATGACTTCAACCAATTAGATTTTAAAAACCAGATTAATCATGAAGCTGCAGAGTTTGGGCTGTCAGTTCTACATGCAAGGATTAGTCTTTTTGAAAGCATTCTCCACTTGGCTTATAAATTGCCAGTGAAAAAATACAGAGAGAAAAACAGAAACGAAAAAAAAAAAATATTGAAAAAGAAAGAAAACTGGAAATCCAGAAAAGATTTCGCAATGAAACTGGTTTGTTTGTGGATATACCAAAGGCAAATTTTGGCAACACAAATGATGGAAACACGAGCCGAAGATTTATTGAAGACCCGAAAGTGGCTTCCAAAATAACGGGCTAATTTATAAATTAAAGGTCATACTAGAAGCGATTTCGAGCGGATATATAATTGATCCGGAAAAATATGACAAATACACATTAGATGCTGCTCGCTTATATGTGCAGCTGTACCCTTGACACCCAATGACACCAACGATGCACAAAATACTTATTCATGGTGCAGTTATAATAAAAACTGCATTGTTGCCTATTGGGCAAGCTGTCTGAAGAAGTCGCGGAAGCATTTCGCCAAGACTTCGCGCGAAAATTCTCTAAAGAAAATTCTAACAGGGATATTTTTAATCCCCTGCTTAAGTTCAGACCCCCTCTTAAGTAGCATGAGGAACGTTAAAAGAAGAAAAATTAAGTCTTTTTGCCAGAAACAATTAATTACTAATGTCTGCAAAGCTGGTAATTCTTCAGAAAGCGAAGAGAAAATGTATACGAATGTTAGATAAAATTGAATATCTATATTTTTTATTAATAAATATAGGTTAATTAAATATTAAAACCTTTATTTTATTTAATAATATGGTTTAGAATCGATATAGACCAAAAAATAATTTTGGCCGCGTAAATCGTTCAAATATCCCTATGTGCATCGTAGTACGTTAAAAGCAGGTATTTTATGTTTTAGTTCTAACCACCTCCTCACACAAAACAAATCTCTCGTTAAATAGAAAAATGAAGCTGTAAATTTTAATAATGCTACAAATTGTTCAAAATTTATATTGAAAAAATGTTTTTATTGGTCTGATCCAGTGTCCTTTCTATGTCCATCGGCCTTTTATGAGAAAAGGGAAGTAAATATGGTTCATCCTGAATCTCAAATATACAGGATGAGATCAAATAGCTATATCTCATGAACTAAAGATGATATCAGAAAATATTTAAAACCGTTATTCAAAAAATACTTAAAACCGTTTCTAGTGTACCTCAACAAAAAAAATAGTTACCCTACTTGCCATACATCATACAACGATATAAGTTATACGCTATACAGGGTAGTTCAATAGTACATAATAATTAAAAACATTTAAAAAGATGATGGCATGTAAATATATTTAAATATTTCTAGTCCAGGAGCAGTGGTGAATACATCCACTGAGTAATTGTGAATTTGTCCGCTGAAAGGGCTGATCAGTAATAAAAAAATGTAAACGTTGTTAGTGGAACAGCTTGAGTGAAGTGATTCCATTCTAAAGTACGGGGTTCAAATCAAAGCTGAGGCTAATTTTTTAATTTTGTTATTAGTAAAATTCATTATTTCACATGTTTGTGTTAATTAACTTAAAAATAGTTATTTTATCTTAATACCCTCTAAATTTGTGATACGACCATCATATCCACGCTTGTTGCACAAACTACTATTTTCATTTATGACCACAGACAAAACAATATTTTTAAAACAACACTTACTTTGGAGGTAAATCTTGAGATATCAAATACAACTTCTGAATCATATCTGCAGCTTCATCGATCTGAGTTAAAAGTAAAACAAAAATAAGTACATTTACATTACTATTATTTAAAATTTACTTACAAATTCGCAATTCGTAAAAATAGCTGAGGAGACAGGTTCGTTTGATAAAAATTCACTTAAATGAGACATTATTTTTAAAGCATCAACAACTCTAGATCTGGGACCATTGACACTATCCAATTGATCACCCAAATGAAGAACTTTTGTAGCAACATGATTGATTTTGCCATCTAGTTCTTGAAATGTATCCATGGCTTGCTAAAAATAAAAAAGAAGAATACAATATAGCTAAATGTAGTGCTATAGAGAGTGTAAAAGTTGAAAAGTCTTTTGGTAGGTAGAGAGGGGGTAAACGTCAAACCACGTCGGGCGGCTCCGAGAATTTCACAGTAATGTTTACCTGCCAGTGTCGTTTCATAGAATAAGTAATTTTAAATTGTTATCGGCGGAACCGGACAATCGCATGTATTTATGGATTATAAATAATTATTAAACATGTATTATAATATTCAAATTATAATTTTACAAAATTTCAACAGCTATTCACAATTTATTAAACTATTTACTCGAAATTGTTATTAACATCTATAAAATAATTTTGTACGCCAATGTATCGTGTCCACTTCGGTGAGATCCGCTGACAACCAACCATTCTCCCACTGAATTTAACATACAGTGTGGAACAGTAAAATGGAATCAATTTGGTAATATAATAAATGTTCGGTAAAACGCTCGGACACGTCATTTAGTATTTTTAGTTGCGCAGTTTTTTTCAAAAAAAACTTTTTATACAGAGTGTGTTATGTAACAGTAGCCAATACCAACTTTCTTATTTTAAATCCAACACCCTGTATGTTTCAATTTTTGGATTCTTCAGAAAATTCTAGATATATATTATATGTACTATGTCCTATACCTAACTGTTTCGGAAATATTAAATGTTTTCCGATTCATTGCAAAAATTAACATTAACAAAATAAAAATGTTTGATTACAGAAATTCGCTACAACACACTCAATACTTATTTCCCCTTTAGGTCTTGATAATGAAAAAGCAAAAACTATTTCAGCGTTTCTTTTTACTGATGTGAAATAAAACAAAGGTATACTTAAATAGTTTTGTTTACTTTTGTTTAAAACGCCTGATCTTATAGCAAACTGTTATCTGACTGCATGACAATAGTTGTCAGTGTTAAAATGGAAGTTGCTCGCTTATTTCATGAAAAATTTCCAAATTTGCCGCGTATATCCCAAGAGACAATTAGTAAAATAGAGAAGCAGTTTCGTGAGCTTGATAGTTTAAATATAACATTAGATGATGAAAATTTAGAAATAGTAAAAAAATTTGTTTATTTAGGAGTAACCATTGACAATAATTTAAAATTTAAGGATCATGCAAATCAAGTTATTAAAACTGTAGCCTTTAAAATTAATTATTTAAGACGATGTTCGTCACATCTTAGCCAATGGTCAAAATTAACAATCTTCAACACTGTAATATTGCCACATTTCAATTATTGTCCTACAATTTTGTATTTACTTAACCAAAATGAAATAAGTCGTCTCCAAAAAATGCAAAACCGTGCCATGAGAATAATATTAAAATGTTCGAAGTACACTCCTATAAACAGTATGTTAAATGCACTAAATTGGCTTCCAATAACAAAATTATTACTATATTACACATTAATTTTTATTTTTAAAGTCAAAATTGGACATGCACCAGTGTATCTGCAGGATAGGCTCTCTAATAGTATGGATGTACATAATTATAACACAAGAAATAAGGATAATTTCAGAATTCAAAGATGTAGAAAAAGCAGTACATATAACTCTGTATCTCACAAAGGTATAAATTCTTTTAATAATTTACCAGAATATATCAAAAAAAGTTCGTCAGTAAATATTTTCAAAAGAGAATTAAAAAACTATCTCATGTAAGAATAAGCTCAGTGTGATACATATATTAGTGTAAATTTGTTTACTTCTAAATTTAATTTTCGTATGCGTAATGTATTTTTTATAAAAAACTCCATGTTGTACTATTTATTACTTTATATACTGCATATGTGAAAAGAATTAGTTTGTAAAAATTATTATTGTACTTGTACTATTTTTTTTTTATTATTACTATGTATGCTGTATATGTAAATAGAATTAGTTTTTTGACTAAATAAAGAGATATTTATACAGAGTGATTCGATTTTTTTAATGAATGTGAAACTCCATATTTTTAGTTGACTTTTGTGTATTTTTTATAATATTAACATGTGTAGAACTAGCCAATTTAATGATTACATTGTGATTTAATCGAGGATTTAATAGTGTAATAGTGTGTCAACAAAATTTGATAAATCACCCTGTACTTTTAGTCCTATAAAGGTGTTTCTTTACTGGTGTATCAACAATTTTGTAGAAAATTCCTAAAAATTACAGGTTTTTAATATGATAGATTTTTAAATACAGGATTTGACTTAAGAAATACCCACTTTTTGTTACCTGCTCGGTTACCTGTTATTCCAGGAAAAAGCTAATCAATTGCAATTTTTGTGGCTAATTTTATTGTAACCTCTTTTGACATTCGACGAATATACACAGGGATTACAAAATTATATTCATCTATAAAATAAGTAGCAAATAAGAAAAGATATATATGTTTAAAAATCATTTTTCTAATTATTTTTAGTCAATGAGTAAAGCTGGATTTATAAACTACATTCAGTTCGCGTTCAGTTCACACTCAGTTCGAGTTCAACATAAACAAAGCAGAATGACACATATAATGTATTTATAACCAACACCATATAATTAAAACAAAAATAACAACAAAATATAATTTATTTTGTGGAATTTGTGGTTGTCTTGTCAACTCGAACTGAGCGCCAACTGAACGTAGTTTATAAATCCAGCTTTAAGGTATGAAATGACATTCTACAAGAAAATGGAAATACTGAATGAAAAACATACCTTATTTTGTTCTAATAAATTATATATTTCTTGAAAAAATGTCGCTTCATCTTCTCTAACGGCTACTTCTAATTTTTCACACTTTTTCTGCTGTCTTTCATGTAATAAATTGAGATCTCTAAAAATACTTAATGTTAAAAAAAAAACAATTGTAAATATATACTTCATACTTTATGGCTTGAACAAACGATTCGTATAAGAGAGCCGGGTTAATCTCACTTTCATCTCCATCATTTTTTGATTCAGCTAAAGTTCTCCAAGCTAACCTTTCTACAAATTCTTCTGCATCAAAGGGCTCCTAAAAATAACAATTAAAAACACATTGTTTTTAATGAAAATATATATTTACTTGTTCCAATTCTTTCATATATTGTTGCATCATCTTGAGTATAAGAAATATTTAAAAAAAAAAGTTAAGTAGGGGCGTAATTATTATTTGATAAATTTAATTATAAACAAAAAAATGACAAATAACCACACAATGTCACAATCTGACACCTGACACTGACACTAGCTCGTTCGTTTTATTCTAAGAACAATGCGTAGAAGATAAAGCTCAGTTTCGAATGTAACGAAAAGGGATAGACAGAGTGTTTGAAATCTGGAATCAAGACGATCTGCAACTTAGATAATATATGGTACAGATAGGCTACCACTACATAAATCTATACGTTGATGTCGTTAATAATATAAAATCATTGTTTCTTTTTCTAATGTAAGCTTTCTCTCTCGTATTGGAATCTTTAGCAGTAGCGTACATAAACCGATTGCGTTGGGTTACTTTAAATGTGAAAATTGCCACATACTTTGATTTTCTTTTACTATACGGAGAATGGGCGCACTGCGCAGCTTTCTGAGTGCCTTTTAAAAGGAGACAGAAAACTCCGCCATTTTGAACCCTTATTACGTGTTGCCTACATCTTGACGCAATATTTTTAATAGGTGCGTTTTAATCATCCGCTTCTGCTTCGGAATTGTCAGTTTTCTTGTTTTAATCTGACAGGTTAAAACGACTAAACCAACAATTCCGGAAGCAGAAGCGGATGATTGAAACGCACCTGATATTTTGCTTGCTGCTGTCAGTGTCAGTGAATATTATTTTTGAAGTCACAGTTTATTGCTAAAGAATCAGTTAGCTCACTCGGACCAGTTGAAAGTTCCAAAATAACATCCACTCCAGGGATACAAATTCAGGATACGCAGAAGACTGCTGTTTTATTATAGGCGGTTGTCATATATTTATTATCTGAGTTGCGCAGTGTATAAACTGAAACATTGAGATCAAAAGTGCCGACGCAGAGTGAGCGATCTGATTCTTTAGCTGTAAACTGTGTCACAGGGTTCAAAATGGCCGCGCTCTATGTTGGGCGTGTCGGACCTCTCTCTTGCCTCATATAGTAATCAAATGGTGAGTTCGGTCTACGCACTCTTTTCACTATATTCACTCCTAAAGTACCTAAGGCGTTCGGGTACGGAAGGAGTTAAAATAAAAGTTCCTCTTTGACCGTTCGGAGATGGTGGAGTGGAGTGTGGATCGGGCATGCGCATAAGGTGATTTAAATTGATAATAAGTTAATTGTGAGTGATTCTTTAGTAAATAATTTTTTTTTTGGTTCCCGTGAATATCATTAATATGGAAGAAACTTATACGGTCGTTACTGACAAGTACGATTAAATTTTAAGTACTGGTATGTCACATTGACAATTGACATTGCACTCCGAGAGTTAAAGGAGTAAAATCATATTCGCACTCCGTTTACGCCTAATTACTACACTCCACTCTGGAGTGCGCAGCCCGAACTCACCTAAAGTATGTGGAAAATAGCACATACTTTTATTTTCTTTTACTATACGGAGAATGGTCGCACTGCGCAGCTTTCTGAGTGCCTTTTAAAAGGAGATAGAAAACTCCGCCATTTTCAACCCTTATTACGTGTTGCCTACATCTTGGCGCAATATTTTTAATAGGTGCGTTTTAATCATCCGCTTCCGCTTCGGAATTGTTGGTTTTCTTGTTTTAATATGACAGGTTAGAACGACTGAACCGACAATTCCGGAAGCAGAAGCGGATGATTAAAACGCACCTGATATTTTGCTTGATGCTGTCAGTGTCAGTGAATATTATTTTTGGAGTCACAGTTTATTGCTAAAGAATCAGTTAGCTCACTCGGACCAGTTAAAAGTTCCAAAATAACATCCACCCCAGGGATACAAATTCAGGATACGCAGAAGACTGCTGTTTTATTATAGGCGGTTGTCATATATTTATTATCTGAGTTGCGCAGTGTATAAACTGGAACATTGAGATAAAAAGTGCCGTCGCAGAGTGAGCGATCTGATTCTTTAGCTATAAACTGTGTATAAGGGTTCAAAATGGCCGCGCCCTATGTTGGGCGTGTCGGACCTCTCTCTTTCCCCGTATAGTAATCAAAGTATGTGGATGAAAACATACAAAGTAATATTTTAAAGGGTAGGTACGTTTTTATTGAAGTGAAAACAAAATAATATGACATTACTGTATAATATAATAATAATAATAATAATAATAATAATAATTAATAATAATAATAATAATAATAATAATAATAATAATAATAATAATAATAATAATAATAATAATAATAATAATAATAATAATAATAATAATAATAATAATAATAATAATAATAATAATAATAATAATAATAATAATAATAATAATAATAATAATAATAATAATAATAATAATAATAATAATAATAATAATAATAATAATAATAATAATAATAATAATAATAATAATAATATTAAAAATAATAATAATAATAATAATAATAATAATAATAATAAAAATAATAATAATAATAATAATAATAATAATAATAATAATAATAATAATAATAATAATAATAATAATAATAATAATAATAATAATAATAATAATAATAATAATAATAATAATAATAATGTTTATTCATAAAAGAATACATAAAAATACAATAATAATAAAAAAAATAAGATATAGATAGATAGATTGAGAAATATGATTTTGGATTTAACAAGAACTAAAATAATAACAAATAAAAAAAAATAAAACTAAAGCCAGAATAGGACATCCTCTGAATGGTCTAAAGTGTGCCATTTGTATACTCCATTGGATCTCAGGAGACCAGGAAAAACTTAGTTTTAGACGTCCAGACATCCAAAATTGTATATCGAATGGACGTCCAATGGACCTATTTGTGCTGCCTGGGATCTAATCAAAATATTTTAAATATAAATTAAAAATAAAAATTATTAAAAACATTTTCCATATTTTCATTACGTGATAAATGTTTACATCCCGCAGTAGTATTTTTTTATATTGTAAATGTTTTTAAGATAGTTACCCAGACAACACACCAAATCCCAGAGATATCCACAGAATATCTTTTGTGAATATCCAATATATCCACAGGATATCAGAAATATTCCGTGGATCTAATATGGATATCCAAATGTCCGTCTATATCCAGAATATAGAAGATATCCTATGGATTATCCAGCAAAATATCTAATGGGTATCTTCCAGACAATACAAGAAATCCCAGAGATATCCACAGAATATATTTTGTGGATATCCGATATGGATATCCAACCAAATGTCAGTCTATATCCCAGGATATAGAAGAATTCGGATATTCAGCAAAATATTTTATGGGTATCTTTAGTAGAGGTTCATAAAAGTAACCAATGATTATTGAATAACGTCGAAAGAAAATAGCAGAGATAAAAAATATTTCAACACTCGAAATATGTTCAACACTCTGCCTTTGATTTTGCCCACTAAGGAGAAAATCATCCTTATAAGGATTCTTCAGCAATAAATGGAAATTCTCGACTCCAGTCTCTAATGGAGTCTGATTGGGAAACAAATTTCGATCGAACTCAATTACGGCGGGTTGAGCATGAGTAGATGCGAAAGTGGTATCGCCATCTATACTTAGTAAGCAAAATCAAAAATTACATGTAGTGGATATCCACGATGGTTTGCGTTCGCGCCTAAACTTTGATTATTTAGTGGATGTCCATGGGATATTGAATACACCTTAAAAAAAATTAATTTTAAATATCTGAACGGTACTATTAGCCACAATGGCGTAATTTTTTAATAATTTGCTATATAATTACTATTATTTATGGACATTTGCATGTCTATAAATTACATCTCATGGATATAAAATAGGTATCCACCATGGACTGGACATTCAGTAGATATTGGGATGTTCAGTAGATATCCAAAGGATTTGGTGTGCTGTCTGGGTAGCTACATGTTGTTAATATACTATTAAGGAATTAAGGCAGCACTGTCACCAGCCAAAGGATCCTGGAGTCCAGAAGGAACATCCATTCACCAGTAGCAAATAAAAATAAAAAAATTAAATTAAAAGAACAAAAATTATTAATAGCATAGTCGAGCGGTTCTTGGCAACTAATTTTAGACTCTTTAGTCCTAAGGGAATAGAAACGCCGAAGCTTCTCAAATGCCTGGCTTTGAAAGGGGGGGATAAAGAACTATCAGAAGTTACAAATGGTCCTTAGGCTAGTTGGTTGTTGCATTTGGTGACGAACGGTGGTCCTTTAGATAGTTGGTTTGTTACAACATGACTTTCCTATCTAGTTATTACAGGCTTTTTCCGGTTATTTTGTGTACAACCTATTGTAGCACCTCTGTAAAATTTTAGACGATAAACTAAATATACATTTTCCACATACTCGTACATCTAACTCGAAACCTTTCTCTGTATATATTATCATTGCCAACGAAAATACTCAAAAATTTAAATTTTACATTTATTCTCAAATGTTCCCATTGCGGTGTATTTTAGAGAAATCATGTATAAAATAAAAATTATAGAGATCGATATCGCAAACAACTTTTAGTTTAACAAGTTTCTTAAAAATCAGAATTTTGCACATTTTGTCAAATTTCTCGAATACGGACCATTTTTGGAAAATTTTATTGTATGAGGCAAAAATTATAGAGAATAATATTAGAAGTAACTTTTCAAAGAATTTTCTTCTGCTAACGTAACTAACAGAGATATATTCCACAAAATATAAAAACGACTCCCTATAAAGTTCTCCCCTAAGATGTTACGACTCTGTCAAAAATCTAATCATAATCTTTCCTCCATGATCTAATCGGTTCATCGAAGGCTAGAAATGCTGCGTTTGAGAATCCACATCGGATGCATCTGAGATGTAAAAAATCTTTGATCACGTGGTTCAGTATACGTAAATGTAATGGGACAGATGTGTCCGATGTGGATAAAAAAACGCTCGAGATGTAAAAAATGCATCAGATGTGGATTCTCAAACGCAGCAAAAGGTTAAGTTTAAAATTTGGTGTTTTTCTCTTTATCCGTTTTAGAGTTTTATTCAAAATTCGAAATTTTACAGACATATGTATAGAACAAGAATTATAGGAAATAATATAACAACTTTTATTTGAACAATTTTCTTAAAAATTTGAATTTTTACATTTTGTAAAATTTCTTGATTACGCACCATTTTAGGACAAAAATTATGGAGAATAATATAAGAAGTAACTTTTTAGATATTCCATAAAATATAAAAATTACCCCCTATAAAGTATATACCTATCCCTCCAGACGTTCCGACTCTACCCAAAATCCAATCAGTTCACCGCAAGCTGGAATAAAACTTAAGTTTAAAATTTGGTGTTTTTCTTAGTACCTATCACAGAACACTTAGTACCTATTCGTTCATGAGTTATGGAGGATGCAGAGTGCAGACACACACGCACATATATGTACCTACGCACGCACGCATGATTCCTATAGTTTCCTTATCTGTATACAAATAGGAAAGTAAAAATAGGTAAAAAAAACATCCCATTTTAAAACTACTAGATATTTATTAAAACAAAAATCATCAAATTTTTAAAGATTTAGTATACAGAATAGCGCATAAATGTTTTTTAAATTCCTTTTAAAAATGTTCAAAATAAATTCAAGAGCGTTTTCCACCCTAAGTTTTGTCATTATTGCTATTTACTGAAAATTTCACAAGAAATGTTAAAGCAGACAAATATAAAGGTATAGACCATACCTATATATACTTAAATATTGATGGCTTTAAAAAACGTTGCATTTGTAGGTATTACAATTATCTATTTATTTATTGTAGATTTTTGTTCATATAAAATTATTTCGATAGTATCTTCACAGAGTACATTTTTTTTATTTCGGCCCAATAGGTAGTTACATACCTAAAAGGTAGGTAGGTATATAAAATCCAAAAATTTATCTAAAGGAAAAGTAAATGTGAATGTAAAAATCACAAAATAGTTGTTTTTTTTACTTAACAATTATATATGGTAATTTAATATTGCGTAAAATCATAAACAGAAAACAAATACTTAATTACTCTCCACTCCCCTAAACAGGTCATTCCTATCCCCATTCCCATTAGAAGAGAAACATTATACAAGGGAAGGGGCTAAAGATATGGACGATAGCGCCCCCTGCAAACTGGAAATGGAAAACAAACAACGCATTGAAAATGAAAATGGCGATTTTGTTGAAGTTGTGTGCATTTCGTGTTCAGTTGCTATCGAGAGTGTTCCCAGGGAAGACCCCGTAGTTCATGTTTCAAGTGCAAGTTTGTGAATAATTCTACTTGATCCCCTAAAATGAGCGAGTTAACGCCAGATATAATGGAAAATAACTTGGATTTAAAATCGAGTGACAAGCTTATCCAAGATGACGTCCCCGAACAGAATGAACAACTTGCTGCGTGCGCATCCGAACCTATTACGATGACAGCCGAAGGTGAACTTCCGCCAAAAAAACGGAAAACTCGGCGCGGGAAATCAAAACGCAGACATCCTTATTTAAAAAACCCAAGGAAAGCGAATAAATTAGTGAAACCAGAGGCACCACATAATAGTAACCAATTTCTATTAGAGGATCATGCACTAGTCGAAGATTTGGACAAAAATTTCATGTCGCCCACTTTAAGGACTAGGGATTCCAGTTTTAGTGTCGACTCTGAAGGAGACTTTTATTCGTCTCCTGATGATGAACAAAAGTTTCTAATTAAAGACTTTGATGACCAATATGAAACACTCCAAGCTGAAAGACTTCAAAGCTTGTCAAAATCCGAGTTGATCGAGGAATATCTTGCACTCGAAAATAAACTTGAGCAAGTAAGTGTTATTACTATTTAATTTAGAGTACATACATAAGTACTTAGCTTTTTCCAGATCATCTAGCAAAAATTATTCTATGAGCTGTAGTTTTACCTTATAATATTAATATAATAACGTTTCTTTATTTGGACAAATAGTAACATTTTTACGTTTTTGGTTTTTTATTTCATATAATTCATAAGTATACCGGGTGTGTTCCTTAATGATAATGCGAATATTTAAGGGTCCGAATCTACATGAAAAATTAATGGTAGTTTGCTTTATAAACTATGGACAAAAAATGGGTAATCTTGTAGTATGTGGTCTAGAAATGCCCATATTTACATCACTGTACTGACGTCTAGAATTTGAATTTGACACAAATTTGAATTTTGTAATTATCACTATTGAAATGTATTATTGACATTAAAAATAACGATCCAATTACTTGAAAATCTTCAGAACATTTTTTTATGGGATTTTTAATCGATCTAAAACTTGGTAAATACCTAGATGATTAAAAGTAAAATAGTTATTTCAATATGCTGGTTCTAAATATAACCTGGCAACTATATGTAATGATTCCAACTGTCAGAACTAGCCGGAACAGGAATGGTGTGTACAAGCCTTTGTACAAGCGCATTTCTAGACCCTTCAACTACAAGATTACCAAAAAAATGTTCCCTTACGAAAATACGTGACGTTTAAATCAAAAAACAGATTTTTTGTGTGTTATCAGTATCAACTGCTGTTATTAGCCTTGGTACTCTGTTTCCCAGCGCCACTTACTGTTAATTAAAACCCAACAGTGAATGATCAAGTGGGGAATCCTACCTATGCATTAGAATTAATCTCTTATGCAATTGTATATTTTCACATATCATACAATATTACACTCTGGGGAAATTTTCTTGCTGCTACAAGAGTATTTATTGCACAAAAAAGAGCAATTAGACTTATCTGGAATCAAGACAAACATGCAGGGATCATTTTATTGAATATCACATACTCACTCTACCCTCAATATATATATATTTTTTAGACAATCCTATATACAAAAAAAATGAAGCTAAATTTTTCAGGAACCATGATTGTCACAACTATCCCACTTGTAATGGCAATATGTTACATACAGTTAGGCATGTATCTGCTCTCTATAAACATATTCCTGGTATGCAGGAATTTAATTATTTAATAAACTGCCAGCTGATATTAAAAACATAAAATCCATTAACATCATTGTATAGTGATCAGAAAGGACCAATAAAGATTTATTATTATTATTATTATTATTATTATTATTATTATTATTATTATTATTATTATTATTATTATTTAATTTATGTTTCAAATTGAATGCAGAATTCAAAAGTGGGAAAAAATAATTGGCATACTATTTTGTTCTTTAAGAATATCACAGTTAGTGTCTGTACTCCTCGATTAAAGCTGAGAGTTAGGTACCTAATCTTGTAGTTTGTAGGAGTTTACGCGTGTTAATAATAAAAATAATATATCTTTATTTTTATAAGAATAATACATAAAAACAAGTCAAGGTACATGAGTATATAAATAAAATAAGTGACAGATATAATAATAATAATAATAAAATAAAATAAGAATCAACTAATAATAATAATGAAAATTAAGATTAGTGACAGTTATAATGATAATAGTAAAAAAATAGTACACAAATGCAAATAATAATTAACATTAGCCACACTTATAATGATATAGATAATAAAATTAAACACAAATGTAAATTGTAATTAAAATTGGACTTAGTGAAATGATAAAAACTCTTCAAGGGTATATGGATTAACATGGTTTATGTATTTTTTAAGATTTTTTTTTAAAACTGTTGATGTTTGAGCATTTTTTAACATTATCTGGAATTAAATTGTACAACATACATCCATTAAAAAATGCCCCTTTTTGATATAGAGCAATATTGTGTTGATTAGACTGTAGTGAATTTTTATATCGAGTAGATTATGAATGATCTGCATTGTGTAAGGTGAAAGAGGAAAAATTGCATCTAACATAACATAAAAGCTCAAAGATGTAAACTCCGATGGCAGGAAAATATTGAGCTCTTTGAAGGCACTTCTGCAGGTTTCTCCAGGTTTAAGGTTAAAAATTCTATTGAAATCCTTACAAAGACCCCAGTGTATACCTCAAATGGCTATGAAAATTAGCAAAATATAGAGTTCTTGATATATGGCTACTACATTGTTAAGTCATGACACTAAGTGCAAAACAAGACGACGATAATCTTTTGCTAAGCTGTTCAACATGTACGTCCCAAGTTAAGTGGCAATCCAGATAAATACCAAGTAATCTTATATTATTAGCATATTCTAAGAAAGCTGCATTTATATGTATTCCGTTGCCAATTTTTAGATTAGATTTATTAGATGTAAAAACCATGCAGGCAGTTTTATCATTATTTATAGTTAACTTGTTGTGATACATCCATTCTAGTAGACTTGAATATATTAAATTCAGATTTGCTTGGAGATTAGAAACATCTTTGACTTTTAGGAGAATATTTGTGTCATCAGCATAACAGACAAGTGAATTAATTGCATGGCCTAAATCTTTAGCGTAGATGATGAAGAGGAGGGGAGCAAGTACCGAGCCCTGCGGTACTCCTAAAGACATTTCTACCGACTCAGACAAAAAGGTCTCACCAGCAGATCTAATTGAAACTTTTTGAGTGCGAGCCTCTAAATAAGACTTGAACCATTCATGTACTATACCACGTATTCCATGATGCTCGAGCTTAATCAGCATATCCACCTATTTCGTTGCCAGTTTTTAATTCTTGTTTTTTCATTCATTTTTACCTTTTAATTTACCCTAAAAATTTATTTTTGACCGCATCTCTGATAACTCGAATTTACTTTTTCCTAGATTTCAAAAATTAGTAAATATAACCCTGGCAACTATGTAATGATTTCAATTGTTAGAACAAGTCAGAGCAACTATATAAATATGGTACAGACATGCACATTAATACCTGCCAAAACTACAAGATTACCAAAAATTATTTTTGTATTGAAAAATATGCACATCTATTAACTGTCACTGCTACTAAATATCACTGAAATATCTCAAGCTGTTTCGAAAATAATAATTTTTCCCCTAAAATTTTAGCACCCTGTATTTTTGTAACAGAGCCTTTTTGGGCCATAGTTTATAAAGCAAAGCATTATTTTTTATGTTGGTTCACAAATAGAATTTTATTTTATCAAAAAAATTAAGTTCTGCAAACACAAAAAAAACTAAAAAGTGAAAAATAAATAAAAGGTATTTTTTTTTATTACTCTTAAAGTACTTAAGCAAAATTTTGCTGTTCAGATATCATTGGAGGTCAAACAAATAATTGTTAAATTTGATTTTTTTTATGTCCTGTGATGTGTACCAATAAATCCAGAGAATTTAAATTTTATTGCCAAATTTCTACTTTTATTTTCCTATTAATCTAATCGTCAATCCCATCTTTGTGTGTATTGTAGGAATAGTGAAATAGAAAAATAATTATGTGTTTTTTATTCTAACAATTCTGGAAAATGCAAGAAGTGGTATTGTAACAAAATAAAAAGGGTATCGTCAATTGAAATTTACTGTTGGTATATTTTTAAATGATTGCAATTTTCAATGTCTATTTGAAATAAATAATAAGAGACCTATATTAAAAATTCCAAACCATTAATTTTACTTGGATAGGTAATTAGTTTTTATTTATTAAAAGGCAAATAAAAAAAGATATATTTGAAATGTATCCATAATTAGAAATGATTAGAATATTTGGGGTAAAATCAGTTACAAACCTAATCCCCATGATTGCATTTAGGCAGTACCCTACACATTTAAAGTATTTGCAATGTCATTACATTCCCTAATAAACAAATTGTAAGAAACTTCATATACAGTAATTATTATTTTGTATGTGACAACTATGATATCCCTATTATTGCTAGCTTTGTGACTGATATTTGGTTTAGCTAATATCCCATCACCATATTTTCTAATTCTAGTCGAAGACTGACTGTTGCCCTGTTGCAATTTTGGTTAACTTATATACTAGTCGTATGCCTAACACGAAAAAATAAGCACTGTATATGTCAATTTGATACTAAAATTAATCCATACAATTCTATATATATTTCTATTTAGAATCTTTTGTAAGTATTAAACATGAATCCTGCATTTGTGAAAGCAATTCAGCTAATTTAAAACATCAACAAAAGTCATATAAGAAATAAAAAAAAAAAAATACAAACCAATGAAGTAATCTACGAAAGTACGAGAAGAAAACACAAATTAATTAAAAATATTCGCCTTTGCAGTACAATATTTGGCACCATTGTAAAAATGTGTAACTATACTACAGCACGCCTGCACAACTCAGATTTTCAAAGGGCCAGATTTGAAAAACCGTAATTGTACGAGGGCCGCCAAAAGAGGCCTGATCCATTCAGATTTCTAAAAAAAAAAAAGGTTGACACCTTTCATTTATAAACAAAAAAAATCCTCACGTTATAATTCTACCGAACCTTTCCTAAAAAAAGTCGTCAGCTTATAATGTATAACCCATCCTGCTGATCGAGTCTTAAAAAAAATGAAGGTCGTCAGCCTAAATGCAAGTTTGTTACTGAAAAATGTATAATTTGACGTAGGCGGGAAAAACTAGTCAATGGCCAACGGGCCGCCAAAACCTTACTGGCGGGACACTATGTTGTGCACCCCTGTTCCACAGGATGAATTTAGGCGGAAAATTTCATTAAAAATGGTTTGTCAATTCCAATTTTCTTCTAAATGCTTAATTAAATGAACAAATCAATGTTTTTTTTTTTTGTTAAAATAAACACCATTGTTGATGGTTTCTAAGTAAATTCCGATGCGTTGTTATTGTTCATTGTCACTATAATAATGAATGTTAAAAATTCTAAAATCTTAAAAAATATATATAATTGAAGAATTTTCCCTTTTAGTTTTTTAAAAAATGAAATTTTCATCTCCTCTATAACAATTTTTAAATGCTAGTCCCCACATCCTAACTATGATGATCCAGGTCAAAAAATGTTTGGAAAAATTTTGTCAAAAAAATTTTAAATATTGGGTTTATACGTAGAAAAAACGTAGATTCTGTTTTATTAAAAAATGTTTAATTTTTGATACCCCCTCCATAGCACCTAGAGGGTGGAGATAAGGGATTTTTTTATGTGACTTTTATATTTTTGGGATCATAAATCCATATAACAAGTTAGGTCTTAATATCTTGGACCCAACCTATTTTTTTTGTATGTTGAAAATAAAGCTGTTTAGGATCTAAGTTTATATGAACTTTATGTCTTAAAATTGAGTAAGGAATTGCACCTTAAGGTGCATATCCACCAAAGCAACATAGAGCAACTTTTGTGTTTTTGTTGCCTGTTTATAAAAATATTCCAGTAAGTTTCACTATCTTTCCCCGTGACAAAATTAAAAAGTTGCTTCATGGTGTGTTTCCATTGGAAGCGGCAAACATCAATGAAAAAGTGTTGACATGTGTCGACAATTTAGAGTTGCCACCTATTGTTGATTCGGTGGAGACAGACTGTCACTGTCTGCTTTTATTAGTTTGCAATTAAACAGATTCGAATGCAAATCTTTTTTGCAAGTACATTTTTCATTCATAATTAAAAAAATATGGCGGAATTTAAATGGACTAATGACTTATTAATATTATTAAAACATTTAAAAATGGTAAATCCATAGAAAATAAATAAATAATTGAAGCATACCGAAATTTAGAGGTACTTTGGAATCCCAAAAATAAAAAATACAAATGCAAATCTTTTTTTCAAGTACATTTTTCATTTATAATTTAAAAAATATGGCGGGATTTAAGTAGACTAATAATATTATTAAAACGTGTAAAAATGGCAAATCCGTAGAAAATAAATAAATAATTGAAGCATACTGAAATTTTGAGTGTCTTTGGAATCACAAAGATAATACAAATGCAGAAATTCTCTCCTGAGAGCGTCTAGAAGCTGCAATCCGCCATGTTGATTCCTAGCTAGCGCAATATTTTCTTCGGATGACATTTAAAAAATATTTAGTCCTAACTGCACTGCAAGAGAAACCTTATTTTCTTGGTGAATACCCTTCGTTTCAGTTACTTGGTCACTGGCGACCAACTGAAACATTTTTGTTTTACTTGTTGCCCTGATGGAGACAAAATGTTTATATATATTGCATCTTCTTTCTACATTTGGCAACATAGAGGAACAAAAAGTGCTTGATGTTGCTTTGGTGGATAAGCACCTTTTAGTTTGGCCATATACTTAATGATCTTCATTGCTTGTATATATTTTTTTCATAGAATTTATTAAATTTATTAATTTCATTTAGTTTATCGAAATTTTCTACAAGTACCTATTCTTTATAAAACAAGTGAAAAGATTAATTTATTATTATATATTTTTATTACTTAAGCAAAAAAAGTACCTAAGTATTATTTAATTAAAAAAAAAAAATCGTGCACAGAAAAGCAAAAAAAAATCATGTATACAGAATAGGTAATTAAGAAACAGTGTATTATTTAATTAAAAAAAAAAATCATGTGCACAGAATAGGTAAATTAGGAAACGGTGTTTACGAGAAAGTATGAAAAGTTGCCTAGTGAAGTTAAAGGTTAATGTCAAACGTAGATTCAAAATTTATTCACAGAAAAATAGTTGTAATATTGTAATATTTTCGAATGTAATTTATACTTTTTTTTTTTCATTTTTAGTTTGAAAGAAAACAGAATTAATTATTAAATAACTGTTTTTCAATCAGTCACAAAATTACATTTCAGATACAGAATATATATAATATATAAAAAATATATAATTTCTAAACATTGTAAGGGGTTTTCTCGCCACAAAGAAAACGGTTCCTTACGAATGACGTTGGTTACGGGCGGTTCTCGAGCGCCAGATTTTTGATTATGGTTTACTCCACAAACTTTCGAAACGGCGTCGAAAGTACTCGGGTAGCTACAGATGGAGATGAAAAATTCTAGGGGTCAAAGGTCACTTAGACACAGGTAATAGTAGGCCACAAGTAACGGGCTTTAATCGTTGCTTGGGCTCGTACAGAATTTATCACTAACTGAAATATAAGGGGGAAATAAAGTAGGAAATTATTAACCAGTAATACGGCAGGTTAACATTGACACATATATTGTGATTAACTATTTACAATAAAAAAAAGAAATTAAATATTTCAACGCCCACCCCAGTTGTGGTGATAGTCAATATAACTCTGAATATAAAAAAAAAAGAAAGAAAAACGGACGGTATTGATTTACGACTAGTCTCAATCAGACGTTAAAATTAAATTAAAATAAAATGTATATTTCGGTCGCAGAGAAAAGAAAAAAAATTATTGACTTGGCTATTCACTCGGTAAATAACTGTCTAACCGCGGTATCGGGAATTAAACTAAAATGTAGGTATTTTGCTATTTAGGTGAAGAAAAATTAACTAAACGGTCGAAGAGAGTGCGAGGAGACAGGGACGCGAAAGAATTACTTATAGTAAATACACGAAAAGAAAATAAAAATAAATTTCTACCCGGGGTAGCCTATTATCCCAGAATGAGCTGATCGTCATCACGAGCCCGCTCAGACAGGGTAATGAAGCTATTTTTGCTTTCTACAACTTGCAGTTTGCACGGAAAAAAATGAAGAATATAAAGGGGAAAAGAAAACTAACGCGGATAGCACCTAGTCCAAGAATGAACTGATCGTCATCATGAGCCCGTTCAGACAGGGACAGGATACTATTTAAAGTTATTTAAATTGTCGGAAAAAGAGAAAAACAAATTATTATCGGAGGGAAGAAAATTTACTAACGCGGATAGTACCTACTCCAAGAGTGAACTGATCGTTATCACGAGCCCGTTCAAACCGGACAGGATACTATTTAAAATTATTTAAAAATTGCGGTTTACAGATTAACTAAAAAAAATTATAACGCGGATAGCACCTACTCCAAGGGCGAACTGATCGTCATCACGAGCCAGTTCAGACCAGGACAGGATGCTATTTAAGATTATTCAAATATACGGTAAAAGAAATAAACAAACTATTAAAAGAGGGAAAACGTCTCCTCGAAAACTCCGTTTACAAACATTCCCAACTTAATTACAACGCGGTACTTACTAAACAAAAGTATTTATCAATTAAATCAAATTTAATTCCCGATTTAATCTATCAAAAGAAAATGAATAATTTCTTAATACCGACTAACAAATGTCTAAAATCCCCGGTTTTACAACATTACAGAATTAAATCCTATCATTTAATTTTAATTCAAATTCTATCCCTTTTTAAAGAAACGGTATATTTGCCAAAAAATAAATTCAAATGTTTATTAAGGAAATCAAACTAAATCTTTTATCTAAACACTAACTATAAAAAAACGGTAATATTTTACCAAGAAACAATTTCTAATATTTATTAGTTAAATTAAATTAAATCTTTTAACTAAACCCTATTTATAAAAACAAAAGAAACGGTATCATTTGCTAAGAAACAAATTCTATTATTTATTATTTAAATCAAATTATTTCTTTTAACTAAACCCTATTTATAAAAACAAAAGAAACAGTATCATTTGCTAAGAAACAAATTCTATTATTTATTATTTAAATCAAATTAATTCTTTTAACTAAACACTATCTATAAAATAAAAATATTTGCCAAGAAACAAATTCTATTATTTATTAAAGAAATCAAATAAAATCTTTTAACTAAACACTATCTATAAACATATTCCTATTCCGACAAACTAATTCGGTTTTTAAAAATGATATACGGAGTCAATATCCAACGTAAAAAACGGAACAAGGTTTTTTACCTATCGGATTTGTAAATACTCGGAAAAAATATCGACGGTGATTTGGTATCTAATGCGGCGTATTAGAGTCAACTGCTGGCAATCAAAAATTATATCGAACTGATTATTTTAATAGCATCTCGGCTCTCGTTCAAACAATTGATTCCCTTTCCTATCAGAAATCCCACTTAGACTCAGACCCACCGCGCACGATTCTCGATCGGCGTTCGCGCTGGTAAATTAACTGAGGATCGACAGTTCATATCGCGTTAAATATTTATTAAAAATGAAAAATGAAAATAAATTGATTGAGGAAAATTGACTTCATTACAACATGTACCTACATACTTAAGGATTTTTAAAGAACATCCTAAAATAATAATTATATAAGTATGTCTACTATTTTCAATAGGTATTAGATACTGTTGTTACAAAAATAAAGGTTTGTAATTACTTTTAAAAAAAGTACTATACGATGGAGCTGTCAACCCCATGACCCATGAACGTTTTTCTGTGTGCACAAACATCCAATTAACAGAATATTTTTATTGATCTGCCAAACAAATTAAAAGATGAAAAATTCTGGTAATAATTCATATTACATATTTTTATTTTTCAGTTAACAAAGCAGAACCCAAAATTAGAAGAAGATGACTCTGAAGATTCTCGACCTGATCTTAAACAGGAGATTGAAAGACTCACCATTGAAAATGAACGTTTAAGGAGAGAAAATGACCTACTAAGAAGCAAAGAGAGTGAATCTGATTCTGAAGATTCAGAAACAGACTCTAGTGATTCTTGTAGCAGTTCTTCATCAGCTAGCAGTAGCAGTTGTAACTCTAGAAGTTCTAGTCGTTCTAGAAGCCCTATCAATAATGTTGATTACAGTAAGACCAATGGAAATGTGTCAGTGCTTCAACGTCTTTAAGACTCTGAATTGCTGTTTATTTTATAAATATTTACAGTTGCTTTAAAAATATCTTCCACCAATGCATATTTTTCATTTGAAATGTCATTTTGTTTGTTAAAAATCGTATCATAAAATATATTTATTAAAAAGATCGTTTATCTGACAGCAATTTTTAAATTAGGTAGTGTATTATTTGAGCTTCCTTAATAATTATTCTTTTTAATGATAAAAATACAGCTGACACTTAATTTAACAAGATTTATTTATTACCGAAAAGAGATTTTGTAAAATGAAATTGATGTTTCACAAACATGCATTAAGTATTAAGAAAATGTGTTTGGAAAAATAAGTGAGACTCGTTTCAAAAAATTTTTTTTACAATTACGAGTTTTAATATTTTGAACAATTATAACGTATTATTAATAACGCAAAAATATAGAATTTACAATTTCTGGCAAATTAGTATGATCCAGCCTAAACAAAGTTGTTATTCCAAGTTCTTCCCTTAAAATTATGAATCTTTTTTCTCCAGCGTTGTTAAAATTTCAAAAACTTATTTTGAAAATATTTAATTTTTGCAAACTATAAAATGGTTGATAAATTTAGGACTTTGAATATTTGATAGTACATCTGAACTGTTTTTTATAAAAAGGCTTTTTAAAATTTTAGAATTAAAAAATTGTTCTCTTGAAGATTAATTTTAATGGATTAACAGTGAGTACTTTTTATTTTGATTTTTTTTTAAACAATTACTTTGTGCTGCTGTTAATGAAAAATATGCTGTGGAAGTCGTTTTGCTGAGTATTAAGAATTCTAAATGCTTTTTAGACTTTAAATCGTCAGCCCGAGACCTAATGTTTTATTTATTTTAGTGATTTGTTTATAATATGGTCTACTTTTGAATTTAAATTCGTACAGTGTGAAACTAAAAGTATTACCCCTACTATGGTTTAAATTTAAATTCGCTTCATTAGTGTTTACTTAATTCATTTAAAAATTTTAAATAAACTAAGGGAAGTATCTAAAAATATACTTTTTTTGCCGAGAAGTCATACCAGAACATTTTTGATGAACCAGTGTCATATCGTTTTGTTTGTTTAGGAAATTTAAAATTATTTAAACCATTGAATATACAATTAAAAATTCTTTCAAATGAGCTATTAGTCGACCCCTGTCGCCATTTAAAATTTTCAGGGGAGTAACTAACCTCTGCAATGTGTTAAAATTAGGTCACATTTTTATTGTAGAAATGTGCTTAATCAGAAATAAAAATCGACCTCTTTAAATATTTTTTCTATTTTACAGTACAGTCAATAGAGGGTTAACACCTTAAGTTCGCATTGTATAGAATGACAAATTTTTGGAAAAGTACAAATCCTGCTTTTATTTATTACAAAGAAACAATGAAATCATTACCAATAAATTGATAATTTATTTTTAATGTTAATGTGATAGTGTTGCTTATAAAACCATGCTATTGAATTTCCTGATTAGGGGTATTACATTTTAAAATCTAGAATTAAATTGAAATGCATTTAAGCTGGTCAAGTCAAAATTACAAAACAGTTCCATCAAAAAAAGTTTATCCAGTATTACTCGGTTTATCCAGTATTGCTCATGTGGTGTGGCGTCTCTTATAAAATGCAGAATGATATAAAGAAAATTATACTCCTTGTTTAAAGTAATACGCCACAGTAAAATTTGGTAGCAATTTATAACGAGATTGTGAAATTATTATAAAAAAAAAATATTTCAATGTCTTTTTCCACAGAAAAAGGCGTTTTTGACCCAGTTCTCATATTTTGGTCCAAATAATCTGTGGAGTGTAAAACTGCCTTACCAGAGTGACAAGAGTTGTTAAAAAATTCAAAGAGCACCGACTTAAGTGAGGTAATTACTAAAAATAGAACTAAATAAAATAATTGGTTAACTTTTGTTCAATTTTTTGAGCCAGTCTATTTAGCATTGACTGTATTATATTACATATACGGTGTACGAAAGATGAAATTCTTGGTTCTACTTTTCTTGTGTTGGATTGAATGCAGAAAAAGAAACGACACCATACCATATCAGTGTTACAATTCACAGGTGGAGTCATAGGTTGGTAACAGCTATTAACCAGTAAATGACCATGTCGATACCACATCATTTCGTTCTCTCTTCATATGAACACAATTTACTATTCAGTTCAAGCAGGACCTAAGGTTTAATCTGGTCAGCTCGATATGTAATATTTATATCAGCCTCTTCCCACTATTATTCCCCAATTACACTCCAAATGTTTCCTTTTGGATTAAAATTAAAGAAAAATAAACCTTACCACCATACAATTTCAAAAATAAAGGAGAATGTATTTGCAATTATGGCAGCCTGTCATTCTCATACTATTTTGTCAATATTACTGTACTATGGCAAAAAAGAATTAATTAAAAAACACAGTTTTGAAGAAACTATATTATATACAATGTTAAATATGCAGTCTTTCACTTTTACGGAAAATTAGCATAATGTTCCTTTTTGAGAAATGATAAACTAAAATTTAAAAATATATTGTTTATTGTGTTTATTCTTTAAGGCACTGACGCTGAGCTTAAAAATCGTTCTCTCTCGATTATGTGCACTTTCTTTTTTTACTCTTTAAGGCCCGTACTTAGGGTAAATATTGATTTTAAATCTGCATCAAAAAAATAAACCCTTAATTCTTTGAGAATTTATACTAAAAGTTATTTATTTGTATTATTACACCACGACTAAAATACCTAATACTGAAGTTGAGGAGAAATGAAAGGCGTATTTAAAATGTGTAGAGTTGAAAAAAATATCTTAAGATATTTTCAGTTTAATTTTAAAAATATTTTCAAGCGCTTTCGGCATTTAAGCCATCATCAGCCCAGACAGAACACCAAATCCTTTGGATATCTACTGGACATCCCAATATCCACTGAATGTCCAGTCCATGGTGGGTATCTATTTTATATCCATGAGATATAATTTATAGACATGCAAATGTCCATAAATAATAGTAATTATATAGCAAATTATTAAAAAATTACGCCATTGTGGCTAATGGTACCGTTCAGATATTTAAAATTAATTTTTTTTAAGGTGTATTCAATATCCCATGGACATCCAATAGATGTAATTTTTGATTTTGCCCACTAAGAAGAAAGTCATTCTTGGACTGGGTTCGTCCTTATTAGGTCTAGAATTATTTCTATTTTTAAGAATAGCCCGCCTGGCTTTTATTCCACCTAGTCTCTGAACTAGGTACTACAGCGACCTTTGATTTTGCTTGCTAAGTATAGATGGCGATACCACTTTCGCTCGTTGAATATCTACTCATGCTCAACCCGCCGTAATTGAGTTCGACCGAAATTGGTATTGCAATCAGACTCCATTAGAGACTGGAGTCGAGAATTTCTATTTATTGCAAAAGAGTCCTAATAAGGACGAAACAGGTCCAAGAATGTCACATTTGAGTTTGGAATTATTTCCTTTTTATCTATAGGATATATCCATTAGTTACTTATGAACCTCTACTAAAGATACCCATAAAATATTTTGCTGAATATCCATAGAATATCTTCTATATACTGGATATAGACGGACATTTGGATATTCATATTAGATCCACTGGATATCTATAAAATATCTTGTGGATATATTGGATATCCACAAAATATATTCTAGGGATATGTCTGGGATTTCTTGTATTGTCTGGGAGATACCCATTAGATATTTTACTGGATATCCATAGGATATCTTTTATATTCTTGATATAGACGGACATTTGGATATCCATATTAGATCCACGGGATATTTCTGATATCCTGTGGATATATTGGATATACACAAAATATATTCTGTGAATATCTCAGGGATTTGGTGTGTTGTCTGGGAGGACTCTAAGAGTTAATAATTAAAGAGCACACCAAACAAATTAAATGGTACAGCTTACTCGATCCAAATTTAACTACTCTGCTTGACATTCCTGAAAAAGCAGTTAAATTAGGGACGCGGTTACCAGAAAATTGTGATTCAAACGTCAATTCACTAACAGCTATATTTTTTAGATTACCTTAAGTCTAATGTCAATCTAAAAGTGACTTAATTCTCGTCCGTGGTCCAAATTTTCAGGAACCTCTGTCAAAAAATCCTGGTTAGTTACAGTTAGTAGTCGGTTAATATCCTATACAGCATAAAAACATTTCGGAAATATTTCAAAAATGTTACATTGAAACATTTGTAATGTATAAATATTACGAAACATCCCAGACACATTTCTGAAATGTGCCTGAAACGTAAAAATGTCCTGTAAATATAATATTTCACAGTAATATTTCTGAAATGAAAATTTGAAATCTTTTAGAAGTAATAAATAGTAATATTTCAGAAATTATATAATTAGACTAAAAAAGATTTAAAAATATACATGTTTATTTAAAATACACAAAACTCGCACATTGATTCTTAACCCTCTCATGCATAATTTTAAGGAAAATTTTCTTTTTTCTTCAAAAAATTATTTTATTCCGAAACATTAAAAATTAACATTAGAAAAGGGCATATTAAATGTTAAAACAGAATTTTTTTTCTTAATAACTAAAAAATAGTCCGTCCACTATAGTGGCCACTATGCACTTGCGGAACCATCAGTTACTGGTATGAAAATATTCAAAGCAGGATGGACACAGCGGTTCGTTGCACCTCTTGCAGATGTATTTTGTTTTTCTTTGGCATACTCTAGAGTGACATCTTCTAGCATTTTTTATATCAATCAGTTGTGGCCAGTGCCCCCAATTACCTAATCTAATTTCAGGTGGTGCATGGTGATTGGGTTTCTTTTTCTTCAAAATGGGAGGTGGTGTGCCAGAAGAAGGTCTACCACGTTTATTTTCTTTCTGTGTTCCCAAATTTATTAAAGCTCTGGCAATGCTTGCTTTAAATTCAAGCAGATCTTTTTTTGGATTTCCATTTTTCTTGTACAAAATCCATGCATTTACAACAAGAACATCCACAAAATGCATAAAAACTCTAACTGGTCCATCAGGTCTACACCTCCCATGTTTTTGTTATAAAACTGAACAGAAAATGGTCTATTCACTTCTATAAAAGTCTTAGTAGATTTACACCAGCGTTTTGTTTTATTCTGAGGTTCTATTCCAGCACAATTAGAAACAATGTAAATAGTCTTATTGTCTAGCCATTTGGAAACAATTATATTGCCATCTTCAGTACTTGCAACGGATGAAGTTCCTCTACCCTCTTGTTTCATTTGTTTATCAGTTTTCATAACAGAATTACAATTTTGTAGTCGATTCATTCGGAGAGTTCCTGTTGCCCATATACATCTTTTATGTAGTTCTTCAATAAGCGGAAGTGAACAAAATAAATTATCAAAAAATACTTTATGATTGATTCTCTCTAAGTCCTCAGTAAGACGCAAAACTACGTCAGCGCACGCTCCAAGTTTACTAATTTGACTTCTATCTCCCGAAGCTCCTTGGTAAACCTCAAAACGATACATATATCCACTAATTCCAGCTCTTACCCAAACTTTGACACCCCACTTTTTAGGTTTTTTTGGCAAGTATTGCTTTATACCTAATTTTCCTTTTAGTGGAATAATTTGCTCATCAACTGATTGGTATTCCTCTGGATCTGTGGCAGCTAAAAAGTTTTTTTGAATTTTATCCAAAAATGGTCGGATTTTTCGCAATTTGTCCGTATTATTTTGATTTAGATTATCATTATTTACGAAATGTAAAAATCTCAAAATAGATTCAAATCTATTAACAGGCATAGCATCTGCAATTAAGTCCATTCTCAGGCCATTATCACTTGACCAGTAAAGCCGTATTCTGGGATATCTGATGTATGCCATTACTAAATGTATGCCTAAGAAAGCATATAATTCATATTTTGTGAAACCAAAATTTAATTTGTTTTGGCCAGCATATAAATTGGTCTGAAAGAGTATGTCATCCATTATGTCTGCGGTGAACAATGATAAAAAATTCAATGGGATTGGTTCCTTGAACATGAATATTTTCTGTTCCCCGAAACTGTGGCAAAGTTGCTGGCCCATACATGCTGTCATTATTGCACCATTTCCAGTCTTTTTTGGTCTTGTCTTTTTGTTTTTACGTTTCAATGAAAGTGCCAAAATACGCTGAGCTAATGGAATATCATCTTCACTGATATCGTCGTCACTGTTTTCTGGCTGTATTTCTTCTAAGTCACTTTCAACAATTTCGTCTTCAGCGGTTGCATGTCCGAGCAAATACGTCTCTTCGTCGTTGTAATCGGATTCCAAATCTGATCCATCAGGTAAATCGTAAATAATGTCTATGAATTCTTCCTCATTTTCTGGTAAACATAAAGGTGTTCCATCCCTATTGTCGTCTTCATCGGCAAAAAGAACTTTCTGAAATAAAATAAAATTTCCCATAGAAGGACTACCTATTACGTCAAAAAATAAAATTTATATTCATCCTATGGTCGCCAAAATAATATAGGTAGGTAAGCAATAAATGCCTAAATAAATAGTAAACCTTTGACAAGACAATAACAAAAAATATGTGAACAAGAAACCCACTAACCCGCTAAAAATTATAATGACAAACCATGCCACAATAGTGGAATTCTAAGTTATATATTGCATGATGTCCACTCAAGTGGACATGACTTCAAGATGGTATTTTCAGTCATTTTTTTCAATTATTTTGAAATTATAACAAAGCCGAAATGTGTAAAATACATAATTCTATATAAAAAATATTTTTATTACCTTTTTTTTTTGCTTTTCCATAAAAACTACTGACACTTATTTCACGAAGTTCACGGGAGGCCATCGCGATCAGGTGATTTATGCGCACTAACATAAACAAACGTTTATTTATAAAATAATATTGTAGATGGCGGTAGTGGTTACTTTATTAGAGTCCACTCAAAGGGATTTCATGCATTTTGCACAAGTTTCATGAAATAAAATATACTTTTAGGAGTTAGAAGAACCTGTCCACTAGAGTGGACTCAATGCATGAGAGGGTTAAACAAATAAATAATTTTTAAACAATATCTCATCAAATATAAAAGCGAATTGCTTTATTTCCACCTCTTCCTTTAAGGGCCGATTCCACCGTTGTGTTAAACGGAGATTAAAATGACATTGTTAATGTAAAAATGTCATTTTAAACTTCGTTTAACACAACGGTGGAATCGGTCCTTAATGCAATAATCTGAAACACAACTAGTTTTTTTTTAATAAATACCCCAAGTAAAGAAACATTTACGAATATTACAATCTAATCATTAAGATCAATTAGCAATTTTATTTTTACCTAACTTTTCTAGGGATGAAAGACTTCATAAACTAAGATTTTACTCACTAGTGTACTTTAGAGTCTAATTATTTAGTTATACTACCGTTAACGTATAACACTTAACCACACTATACTCTGCTCTAATCTAACATCACTGAATTAACTCAAAAGGCCTGGTTCCCTTGAGTCTTCTTATTAGATTAGCATTGTTGAGGATCTGGATAATCTCAAGGTTTCCATGTTGGAGAAGACATTGTTGGTGACTACTGGCAAATTTTTGTATTGTAGTTTCAAGTCTCCACTTTAAGGTCCATATGAAGATCAGTATTGCGGCAGTACCAGGATGCATCGACGATGTTCCTTAATACTTTACTGGAAATGTTGAATAACTTGGATGTTACTTGACAATATTTTTAATATTGAACTTTGCATACTTTAAATACACCTATTTCTCTAGACGTAATACGTCAATATTGAAGTTTACATCAGTGAATTTTCATTTAGCATTAAGTGTTAATGGTTAGCTTTGGTGTCATTGTCTAAGTGTATTCAAGTATAACTTATTTGAGTTCAAAAATAAATTTTAATAACCTAAAAGTATACAAAAATCTTGAATGTAAATGTTTCAATTTCTCAGTTTGTTTATATTTTAGAACTTAAATTGCAGTGTTATGCGAGACAGATAAACGCAAGAAACAAATAAAAGTTAATTTAGAATTCATGTTTTTACTGCATTTAGGTTTTTTTCTTGTCATTTATAATTTATTCCTAGATGCAGAAATGATTCAACCCACAAATGCTGCATAAATGGCTAGAACATTCGTATTGTCCCCATAATTAAAATTCTGTGATAAAAAATGTGCTTAATATTTAAATTATTTTAAATTTTATTAAAGTAGTGACCTCACATTTTAGATAATTTATTTTGAAATATTCTCAGTGGGAGTTGAATAATTTCTTTATGTCCATTTTTGATTGTAAGTAAATGCATCACATGTAATTCTGCATTTTTTTTTTTTTTCGTAAATATTACAAATGAAATATGCATGTCAGTAGTATACAATATTTTTGAAAATAGAGTAATGATTTTTTTGGTTCCTGATAAATTATATTGTAAATCGCTTATTGAGTTATGAACGTCAATGAGTTTATGAAACTTAAAGAAAAGCTTATAGAGATTTAATATATCGTATCTATTTTGAGTTAAAATTATAAGAAAATGTCTTTAAAAAGTTCGAATTTTGAGTTTCAAAAACTTATCTTTACTGCCCATTTCCTTTTTTCATAAGTTTTGTTTTTGTTAATAAAGTTCGTTTTTTATAATACCTTTTTGTAGATAAATAGAAATAGGATGTATAAGTTGTTATAAGTTTGAATACATACTAATAATTTTACTAAGCATTTTCTTACCTTTCGACACTAAAATAACACACATAATAAATAAAAAAATATATTTTAAAAAATCTTTTCTTAATACATAAAAATAAAATTGAAACTCTTGGAATATAAATAAAACAACAAAAATAAAATACGTGAACAAAACATAGTGGGTTTGTATTGAAATGTAAAGAAATATACCTATTTTCAGTAAGAAAAAGATATGTTGTAGCAGAAAACAAAATAAGGCCAACTATTACTCAATGAAGACATCCAAAAACGTATAGACTAATTTTTCTTGACTTTGGCTTTACCTGCTGGAGCATTAGGATTAGAACCTCTATAAAATTCCTTTAAAAGTTCCATAGCTTCTTCCCCTCTATAACCCCCCTTTAGCTCTGTAACTGGATTTAAAATGGATGCTACATCAAACACAGTTTGACCCCCAAATCGATCATTTCTACAACCGTACACAATTTTTTTAATCTTTAAGCTAAAAAGAGCTGCCGCACACATTATACAAGGTTCAACAGTTACATAAACGGATATTTCTGAAAAAACTACAAGGGTGTTTAAATTGTTGTCATTGCAGTAATTTTCAACTTGATCAATACAATTTATTTCTGCATGTCTCGTAGCATTACGAGTTTCATTAACTGTATTTCGTCCCAAAGCTATTATTTGATTGGAATAGATAAAAACGCAACCCACTGGTACTTCTTGATTTGTCAGGGCTTCCTTAGCATAGAAAAAGGCTTTATCCATGTAGAAACATTCATTTTCTGATAGTTCCGACATTACTGATTAGTTTAAAATAAATTCGTTAAAAAAATATTGTGGGATGACAATAGTATGAATAAAAATATAAATATTAATCACGGAAATATTGCATCAAATTATTCTCATCTAAAAATGTTTGCGCTTTTTCATGCCAATTAGTGTTGTTAACTGCTCGCGGACTTGGATGAGGCATGTATAATATTTTTATATTGTCAATGTGATTAGCTTTAAAGACATCTTTTGTTTTCTTATGTATATATCTGCCAATGGCTATCAAGTATTCGGGCTGAAGTAAACGGATTACTTTTAAGTACCAGTCTTCACAAAGTACCTCCAAACTCTTACGTACCTAAAAGCAAAATATTACAATTAAAATGTTTTTTGTTTTCTTAGATTTAGGATATGAAAATACACAGCCCCAATATTTTTTGTATAGGGTAAATACTTTCTGAAATGTCATCGGGAAATTATTAAAACATTTATTTTCGTATAATTTAGCTTTCAGTAAAACATAAATTTTACATGATTGACTCAAAAATAACTGTTAAGTTGACATTAAACCTGCGTCGTCGTAGTCGAACCCAATTTTTAATTTTTTAAATGTGAAATGAGTGATTAAAATAACACCTTTAGTCACTCGAATTTCATTTCAAGGGATTAAAAAAGATTAATCCACCTAGGATTAAAAAGTGACATTTCTTTTTTAGATCAACCATGACCAACTTTTTATATTTATTTATTTTTTACCCAAACCAAAAATTATAGAAATATATCTGTAAAATTTGTTTACAAAAATATACCACATATTCCTTAGAACAAAATAAGCTGGTTAAGTTAATTTTTTCAATAATTGCACATTTAAAGTTTCTACGCCAATAGAATGAGTATGAAATTTGGATTATGTAACTCATTTATTACAAAAAAGGTACTCTTGATAAGACTATTACTCTCATGGTTTTGGCAAAATTTGTATTGTTAATCAATCACGAATAACTACAAAAATCGAATTGCAAACATTCAGTGTTATCCACGTAGTTGCCAAAATATAAAAGAATCTTGTTACAAGGATTGTTTATGGCGCAAGTTAGTTAATTTGTTAAAAATCAGACGTATAAGATGACAAACAATTCCTTAAACATGCCTCCAAGTATTGACCAGTTAAAATTGTCCGATTTTTAGTTTTAATCCCTTTCATTTGAGAAAAAGCTGAATTGCATAAGTATGCAGAACCAAAACAAGAAATAATTTTTTTAACCATTTTCCTAAATCGAGGTATTTTCCATCTTCTAAATATCTCCAAAACATTTTTTCAGAAGCACAGGATTTTAAAAATACTTTGTTTTCTACTCCGATTATTTCATTCTCCAAAATATTTGTATCTATTTGAAATAATGTAGATAATCAATTTAAAACTTCTGGTACATAAGGGTATCATTAAAAGGATATAAAAAATAGCATTTCATTTTAGTATAATTATAACAGGAGATTTTAACGTAGATTATTTTTCAAACTCATCAAATAGTGTATCTTTAAAATTTTTTATAACTATTTTAAGCTTAAAAAATATAGTTGGGGAAATAACGCGTCCAACAAGTAATATCGGATCTCTATTAGACTGGATTATAACAAACACATATACAGGGATTTCATTTCAAAACTAGCCACCCAAAATAACTTTTAAAATATCTTTAAAACAAAAAACACGTTAATTTATATTTACGGGGAGACACATTTTACAAGTATCTGTAACCGTGCAGTTTCATCCCCTAAGCGGTGGTGAATATCACTTCTAAAATTTTAAATAGAAAGGGTATAATGTGATAGCTCTTCTTAAAGGTCTCTTTTTTTCCAATCTTTCGACACATTATTTTTTTAAATCGGATTAATTTTTCACCAAGTTATGCCATTTTAACCTTTTAAATTAAAATAATTATTATTTACATTGTATTTACATTATTATTTTATTTGCGTAAGAATTACATTGTACTTAAATAAGATGTTCAAAATGTCCGCCATTGTTGGCAATGCAATGGTAAAGTCGCAGCTCGAATTCATCCCGCACTTTTTGAAGCGTCTCTGGTGTAATCCGCTCACACTCCTCCGCTATTCTACGTCTAAGTTCAGGAATATCGCGAGGTTGAGTTTTATACACCAGTTTTTAGATGTCCCCATAAAAAAAAGTTAAGGGGCGTTAGGTCGGGTGATCTCCCTGGCCATTCTATAGCGCCCCTTCTTCCGATCCATTTATCTGGAAATGTCTCATTAAGCCAATTTCGTACAGGCAAGGCATAATGTGAAGGTGCTCCGTCCTGTTGAAAAAATAGGTTTTCTTCGTCTAGTAACAAATTTCCATCTTGATCTATTTGGTTTTCTAAGGATTCGGTTATAAGAGGATTTATCAGATTTTCTAATATGTTCAAATACAATTCCCCAGTTAAATTTTCCTCCATGAAAATAAGACCAATAATTTTGTTACCAAGAATTCCGGCCCATACGTTGATTTTCTGAGGATATTGGCTGTGCATTTCCCGAAAAACATGTGGATTTGTATTGTCCCAGTACCTACAATTACATTTATTGACAAATCTATTTAAAAAGAAACCTGCTTCGTCTGTAAAACAAATATTTTTATTAAAATTATGGTCTTCATTTGCCCTTTGAGTCATTAATTCGCAAAATTTTAATCTTCTGTCATAATCATCCTCAGCAAGCTGTTGTAAAAGCTGTATTTTGTAAGAAAAGAATTTATTTAGCCGTAACGTTTTATGCACAGAGCCAACGGAAATATTTGTTAATCTGGAGACTTTTGGTATTGATGTTTGAGGTTCCATGGCAAAATGACCTAAAATCTCAACTTGTGCAGCTTCAGTTAAAACTCTACGATTCCTTACAGTTTTATTGCACACACTTCCAGTTTCTTGCAATTTATGAACTAAATCCAACACATACTGATGCCCAACATTTTTATCGGGATGTCTCTGATTAAAAACACGAGCAGTTCTGCGTGCACAGCGTTGTTCTTCACCATAAATAAAGATTATTTCAATTCTTTCTTGTAAAGAATAAACCATTGTCAAAATTAAATTGTCAGTACACAACGAAACCAATAATCTACTAATAATAAATTTTTAATTTACGGTCAAAAATATCTTACGCAAAAAACATTTTTGCTAACTTGTTTATCTCGGTATTTATACTCATGCATTTTAATTCAATATTTTCTAGGTTATAACTTGGTGAAAAATTAATCCGATTTAAAAAAATAATGTGTCAAAAGATTGGAAAAAGAGACCTTTAAGAAAAGCTATCACATGATACCCCTTTCTATTTAAAATTTTAGAAGTGATATTCACCACCGCTTAGGGGATGAAACTGCACGTTTACAGATACTTGTAAAATGTGTCCCCCCGTAAATATAAATTAACGTGTTTTTTTGTTTTAAAGATATTTTAAAAGTTATTTTGGGTGGCTAGTTTTGAAATGAAATCCCTGTATATGTTGTTTAAAATAACCTAAAATAAGTATACATTTTTATATATCTGTTAAACTAAAACAAGATAAATCTAAAGTGGTAATACAAACAATTGAAAGTAGAGGCCGAAACATAGACTATTCTGCAATTAATCAGAAATTAGAAGCTATTACTTGCAAATTTAGGGAAACCGATATAAATATAAAATATCAATGTTCTTCTATAATAAAATTATATAATAAAGTAGTTCCTAAAAAATTAATAACAATTTACCCAAGTTATAAAGGGCCTGTTGAGCAGGGAGTGGAGGATAGAGATAGAAGCCATAAGAATTTTATGAGCCACAGAAGAGAATAAAAACATTTATAAAGAGAGAAGAAATCTTGCTGTCAGGGTAATACGAAATGAAGATGTTCACAGCATTTATGTGGTGAAGGCTAGTTTTATTTAATTCTCTAATACTACCTCACTTCACTTACTGCTCAACAGTATATCTTAAATCAAAATGAAAGAAATCGATTCCAAAAGTTGCAGAATAGAGCTATGCAAATAATATCATGTCCTAGATTGACGTCTACTGTTGAAATGCGGTTATCTTAACTTGGTCTCAAAGACATGTTCCTTTACCAAACATTAATTTTTATATTTAAAATGATAATAGTACTTGCATCTGACATACACCCATAATACAAGACTTGGAAATTATTTTTATATTAGGACGGTCAACACCAGTCATGCTCAAAATTCAATATTTTTTAAAGGCCAGAAGATCTAAAGAAATTAGAGTCAATGAATTTAAACATAAACTATAAAACAATATTTGTTGGATGTAAGCAGGTAATTTAGGTATTAAAGTATTTATTTATATTTTATATGACTACAGTTAGATTAATAACTTATTATATTTAATCTAGTTTAATCAAAACCTCGCAAACGATTTTCAAAACAGTAAAAATTATATTTTGAACTTCATCTACATATCTACGATTATTGTGATTGTTATCCTGAAGCATTTATTTTAAATTAGGAAAATGTATGTAATTATTGTCTTCTAATTTCGACTTTATCATTTGCAGTTTCTGAGTAAGACTTTTCACACAACCAAACAGATAAACTAATTTATCTTTTCCTTTTAGTTCTATATTTAATTCATTTAATTTCCATGTTGTCTGTTAAAAACGCCAAATCCTAAAAAGCACAAATAGCCGTCAAAGTTACATTAAAAAAGTAGACTTGCATCCTAAGTATCAGTTATTATTATTATTTGCTAATTGTATTTATTATTGTAGCTGAAAGTGATTTACAGGAAGGTAGGTACACCATTTATTTTACAGTGTGGCAACGGTGTAAACTAGGAATCATAAAACGAATGCTCGCACCTCGTATAAACAAACTTGCACAAATCATCCCCACTCAATTTAGCAGGCGTCTCGCTCTTTCTAATACGGCAGCCGATACAACAGCTGTCTGTCTAACATAAAACACAATTAGCAATAAATAAGGACTTAATTATTTATTTATACTGCAAAACAAACAGAATGCAATCCATTTACATGCTATACAGTAGCAGTTACAATAATTACTAAAACTAAAAATAAATTTAAAAATGGTATACAATTAATAATATATGTAATATTAAAAGTTATATAAGATATTAATAGTTATAAGTTATAACAGTTTTTGTTAAAATGTATGTATATCGAATATTAATTTCAATTTGTTGAAAGACATTAAAAAGGTCACTGTTACTGCTAATCAGGAACCGATCTAGTATTTGAAGAGACTTATCAATCAATAGGTGAGAATAAATTATGATTGGAAAATAATGTGTATCTTTGCTTAAGGCGAATATCTGATATGCTGAAATTGATGGAGGC